CTGTCCTACCTTGGAGAACTAAATTTGCATATTTCTCAGTAACAACAGTTGCCACTATACCTGTTACCACAGGGTTCATGAAGGAGCTTCCAACCCTGCATTTCACATATTAACAGTATCAGCAGGTCTAATTTAATTGAAAAGGCAGTAAAGGCATAAGATGAAAGGTTTCATACTCTGGGAGCTTGGCTGCCTTTGCCAAACTCCACCCACTGTGTGCAATAGGTACATTTACTGGATGAAAAAAGGAGAGAGACATGAACAGACCTCGTATTACTTGGACATTATAAAACAAACTGAATTTTAAATCTGTTTTACAAACTTATGTTTCTATGTTGCTAACAAAACATGGAGAAAGGGAGGAGTAATCAATCACCTGAATCACCATTAATTTTGCATGTTTTCCAAACTGATTTGCAAGAAACTGCTGAGCACATCCTTCCCGCCAGACAACAGAAGAGACATAAATCTGATTAAAGTGTCACCTTTCTATACTTAACCCCTTTCCTCCACCACACACAGCAGGCAGAGAAGGTAAACTATCTGCTCTGCCTGCAGAAACACCTACAAAGCTGTGCACTTCTGCTTCTCAAAAGATGGTCTGGCAGCTACCCATACACCTGCACACCTTGTGACTAGATATGGAATATCTTGTGGACACAAGCTAGAATTGCCTATAGGTGAGATTCAAAGCGCAAGCACATGTGCCCTGCTTCCTAGTCAAAAAAACCCTAAACACTTGTCTCAGTCTCAATTTTATTTTTGAGAAAATAATCAGAGTTTAAATACTGTTGTAACACCAGATGCACACTGGGTTATGCAACTGCATTACTTAAAAACAACAAAAGCACTCTTTCTGAAGAGCTGTAATGGAACAGCTCCCACATCCACAACAAAGGACTTGACCTGGATGTGTTTCTCTGTCCTCTCTCTCTCCAAGAGAGGGCAGCAGTGACCGGGCAGCAGGTCTCCCAGTGCTCAGGAGAAGGCACCAGCAGCGCAGCAGCCCTACGGGAGGTCAGGACCAGCCCCTGCGCCCGGACAGGTGCTGTTCCACCAGGAGCCACTTTGACAGCGACTGGGTGTCTGATCAGTTCAGGCATGGGCTTTCTGAGGACAAGGAACGAGATCCAGCAGAAAGGGAGAGATCAGATCCATTATTTACCCCTGCAGCTGGATATGGGATAATAAGCTGTACCAGGTACAAGGAAGAGGCAGTTCTGAGGGAAAACACCAACTTCCCAGTTCATTCAACAGCTCACCAATGGCAGGATCAAGGCATCTGGCTGTTCAACACATCCAAGCCCTAAACCCAGTATCCCCTTGAAGGGTAACAGCTTGCTTAGTCTCAGCTCAGAACCTGAGGACCCTGAATATTAAACTTCCTCAGAAACTTCTTGGAGTAACGAGTTTCTCCTCCTGCACTGGTACAAGGAGCAAGGGAAGGCTGTTTCACACTCAGTCCTCCTCTTCAGCAAGGGGTGGCCCTGACAGCCAGGGGAATATGGCCAACTCCCCAGAGCCAAGGAAAACCAATTCCCCAGTTTGACAGCCCACACCTCCTTTCAACTGAACACCCGCTCCAGACCTGGATCCCATTATGTGTCACTCATGCTGACAGGGGAACCAACAGGGCTATTGAAAAACTGCTAGTACACATTACACAATACGGGTTTGAACCCTGCTTCCCCATCCCCCTTTTCTCACTAACCTCACATACTTCCATCTAATTTTAAGTAGGAGAAAAGGCATATAGAAGGAACAAATTTTATTCAGCTTGTATTTTTATTTGGGTTGCACTGCTGATTTAAGGTCTCTACACCGCTTGTCTTCACTCCCTGTTGAGAACACTCCTGCACAGTTTCTGGCAGCACACATGGTCAGGCTGTCCGACTGGTCCCATTTGCCCTCCCCACCAAGACTGGTTGTTCTCTGAAGGTGAGGGGTGCTGCACCAAGCCCAGAGGGATCCTCGCAGCCTCTCCTGTATTCAAGCCTGTAAGGTACAGGAGTTCCTTTCCCACAAAGGTTTCCTGCTCTGTTCATCTCGCCTGCAGATTCATGTTGTTCTGTTGAACTCTTGGAGTAATTGATATGCTGGTTTGGACATACTTCAAATCATACCTCTTCAAAAGCAGCAAAGGGCTCTTCACGCACAACATTGTTCAGAGCTCACCACCAGCACAATGAGCTGATTTACCAGCCAGAACATAGCCCTGATTACCCACAAGGCAATCATCAGCACAACCTTTAGACATGACTCACAGCAAAAGCTTACCTGGCTGTTTGGATCTCCAAGTAAGTTACATATATGTGGCACTATCTTACTCAGTGTTAAACTCTGAGCTCCAGATCTGGGAATGAAGAACAAAAGAGAACCACTATGAATCACAGAGCAGGCTTGTGTACACAACACCGGTTTGCAGAAGGTTCTGACTTACGCATTGAGTGTTGCAATAAGGCAGAGGCAAATCCCTTCTCTTGTCCGAAAATTCTTGTGTTTGAATCCTCCCAGCATCCTGTCCCACACGTACTGTGGAAAACAGAAGAGAGAATGAGACAGGAAAAACAGACAGTGGGGGAAGAAAGATTCTCCCTTGCAGCAGACATACACCATGCCATCTCTGGAGCTTAAATATAAGATTTAGGCCCATCCAAGAACAACAGGACAAGAAGTAGCAAGACACTTTTAGCTCTGACTAATTCTTTGTTCTGTGCTGACTTCACAGTAACTCCCCACTACCTAAAACAATATTCATATTTACAGAAAGCAAGTACCTTCCAAAGATCCAGAACAACAACTCTGACATCTACCCAACACATCCCATTCCTGGGAAATCCACCGACACTCACACTCCCATGTGCATCCTGTCATGCAACAGCATTCTCAAGTGAAGCAAATATCTCATAACAAGGCGTAGGGAAATGAAGCCATTTCAGACAGAGCCACAGGCGAAAACCCTCTGATGGAAAAAGTTTTCCTTTTTACACAGCCAGTCACTCACGCTGTAGAGGGCTGTCAAACATACCTGAGGGTTAGCAGCTTGTTCCATGATTTTCAGCAGCAAGGTCTGATCCTGCTCCCTCACAGAGTCCTTAGAATCTCCCAGCCTATCAAGTAAACTTGGCAGAACTGAGGAAAGAAAATAGAAACATCCAAATCCCTCAGGAAAAAACTGACACAGTGGCACAGCCTCTCTGCTCTCCCCCCACCCAATGGAGGAATCGGACCTGCTGCCCTTCAGCTGAGCCTAAAACCACCCAGAGCCTCCCGAGTGCTCTCCTGGGGAGAAACCAAGCTTTGCGTACAGCAGCCAGAGGGGATGCCAGCAGAGCACTGGGGACATTCACACACACCCTCACCTGTGCCAATCTGGGCCTTGAAGCGATCTTGTAAGCGGGACACTAGTGCGGAAATGATGTCAATGCCCAGGAGAACCACCTGCAGGGACAGGACAGATGGTGTTTTAGTGTGCATTACAGCTGTAATTGCTGCTCAATGCTAAATTCATACATATACATGTCCAGTGTACACAAATCATATACATAACCCTGCAGTATTTGCTGTAATTAACATTTGTAATTAATTGCAATTATTACAATTATAGTTAGAAAATGGTGTGCACTAAGAGCTGCTTAATTATTCACCGGCAGAAATTAAACCCAACGCTTTTATAACATAACTGAAACCCAGGGAAAGACACCTTGTTTGAGAGAAGTTTCAGGACAGGCTGCAGATCAGAAAACCCACTCTGATTAACTACATTTACTAGCCACAAAAAGATACATTACATACTGAATATACTGTGTAGCCTGTATATGAAACACATGAGGATGCCCTATAGACCTTGATCGTGCTGGTATGAGACATTTCTCTCCAAGTTCCTGGAGAAGCACTGAGGTTAGTCATGCCTGGAAGTGTTAGGTACAGCCAGGATTCTGAGGTGGTGCCACCGGGGCTGTCCCAGCACAGCTCAGCTCCCTGTACATACACCTAAGTGTACATATATACACATATACATACATGTCTATGCTGTCTGTACATACATACAAATGTGCACATATACACATTTTTTTATTTTTAGATTTTAAATTTTATTTTAAACTTTTTGCTGAGTTGGAAGGGACCCATCAGGATCATCGAGTCCAACTCCTGGCCCTGCACAGGACACCCCAAGAATCACACCACGTGCCTGACAGTGTCCAAACGCTCCCTGAACTCCTGTCAGGCTTGGTGCTGTGACCACTTCCCGAGGGAGCCTGTTCCACTGCCCAAGCACCCTGCTGGTGCTTTCCCTGATATCTAATCTAAACCTCCAAATATATAAGCCGATCTACACTCCCTGTACATACACTCAAGTGTGTGTGCAATCGCACACGTACATATCCACACTCTCTGCACATCCCCAGGCCGTGTGCAAGCACAGGGAGCACGGGCACGCCCGCACCGCACAGATAATGCCCATTATCCACACGTACATATCCACACTCTCTGCACATCCCCAGGCCGTGTGTAGGCACAGGGAGCACGGGCACACCTGCATTGCACAGATAATGCCCATTATCCACACGTACATATCCACACTCTCTGCACATCCCCAGGCCGTGTGCAGGCACAGGGAGCACAGGCACACCCGCATTGCACAGATAATGCCCATTATCCACACGCACACCCGGGCCCGGCCCGGCCACGCCACTGCCGCGGCTGCCCAGCAGGGGGCGCGCCCCGTCCCCGCTGCCGCCGCGCGGCTGCCCCGCCCCTATGCAAATGAGTGCCCGGCTGGCGCGGAGCACTCTGGGTAAGCGCCATCGCCACCGACAAAAGGGCTCGAACGGGGCGCGGGGCCGCCCCGAGCCGCCGCTCCCCGCGCGTCCCCGCGCGGAGCGCGCCCCCGAGCCGGCCAGCGGGAGCGGGAGGGCCGGGGGGCGCGCCGCCCCTCGCCGCGACCTAGGCCGCAGTTCGCCCTCCCCTACAGGCGGCGCGCCCGCAACTGCTACTTAACCGTCCTTATCTGGGGGTTGCGCGGCTGCTCAATGAGCGTGTGGCGAGGGCAGCCCTGCTAACGCCTAAAGCAACACAGCGGCGCCCGCTCCGTGCGCGGCGCAATTTTTGGAACCTCGCACCGCGGCGAGTGCCCGGCGCGTCCCAATGACACCCGCCCCGCGGCAGGGAAAGCCCGTCCGAACCGAGCCCGACCGGGCACCCGTCGCGGCGGCGTGTGTATGGAGACTGCTGCGGTCTGACACACCCGGCTGACGCCGGCACCCCTCCCATCAACAACCAATGTCCCTAAGGAAGCCGCGTCCGGGGTACCCGCTGTCCACACCAAACCCCTCACGTTCCACGCCCGGGTCACGCTGTTTTAACTCCTGCTGGAGTCGCCACGGCTGCTCTGCATGCCAGCGGTCAGTCCACAACAACCCTCTGTCTGTCCCATGGATTCAGCTCCGGAGCAGCCACGGAGCTATGCATGGTGCGTACAGGAAACAGCCTACAACTCCATGTCAAGTCTGCTAAAGAAAATTTTCTAAATACAAGCCCCTGGATCCTGACTTCTCCCAAACACGTTCTCCAAACAGCTCCTGCAGTTTTCCCCCTCGGAGTAACAGATCCTTCAACCGTGCAATTTTTTTTAATTCAACATCATTTGCAGCATGCCGACAAGATCTAGAATCTATTTGTACGCCAAAGGAGAATTTTCCTCGTGCTTCTGTTAAGCCGTGTTTCGTTTTCACATTCATCTTGCACACTGGATTTAATCTACCATTGACAAATGCTCAGCCAGCTGCCCTAAGCCCCATGGCTGCCCGCTTGTCTGCCAGCTCACCCGGAGCCTCCCGGCTGGGGTCCGGCAGCAGAGCCCCAGCAAGAGTGGGCTCCGCATCCTCATTAGTGGAGCGATGCTTTTAGGGAAAATCAATGGGATTCTGAGTGCCAGTCACCATTCACAGCTGTCTGATTAGAGTCCCATCACAGAAGCATCCCGCACAGAGATAAGTGTGCTGCCTGCAATTACAGAGATGTGCCCCAGGGGTAAATTCGATCCCGGGAGAGGAAGGGATCCATCTCTTCTTCAAACTGCCTGCAAGCCAGAAAGAGTGAGGGGAACTCATCGCTCAAACATGAAAGGAAACACATGCACAGTGCAAACATACCCTGCAGTTCACCCCCAGGATGAGGCTGGGAGGACAAGCTAAGCTTCCCAAGACTTTTTGCTGTTGTGCTTATAAAAATGGGGATTTATTGAGCACAATGATTACAGTGGCGCTTGGACAGCTACTGAGGAAACAGACACTGTGGTGAGCAGATGTTATTCTCGACCATGCTGGACTCATTTATCAACCCCAACGTGCCACCTGCCTCAAACTCCTGAAGGTCAGAGGTAAAAAGCTGAAATCATGTATGGATTGAGAGAGCCAGTGGATCCACTACAGACAGATAACAGACAACCCAGGGCATGGCTGGCAAACAAATGAATAATGAATTGAATTCCAGCCCAACTGTTGCATTGGACTGACTGCACTGAAGAGCCCACCTGTTCACCACTGAAGTAGTCAGCTCTGCCTGAATTAACACACCTACAAGCAGGAGGAACCTCAGGAGAGGGAAGACTCAGGGCTGGAGCAGGGATGGGCCCCATCAGCAGCCACTCCACTCCCTGATCCCACAGCAGGGCCTCTCTCCAGGGAAGCCAGCTGGCCAGCACAGCTCCACACCAAGGCACAGGAAGGGCAGCTCTCCATCAAATTCCAGATAATGCTGCAGTGCTGATAACTACAGAGTTATTTCAGGCCTTTACATCAGCACAGGTCTTTTAGCCACTACTTTATACAGGCCCCCAAAAGAGTGATCTCAGAATCAGAAACACACAGTATTGTGTGCTTGGTCTGAGACTCTGCTGCTCTGCTTATTTGACTCCTGAGGTTCCCCAATATAGTCAATAATAGTCTGGGTGGCAAGTTACACCACCAAGAATTCAGATCCATTGGCATCTGCTGCTGCTTTGTCATGTCATGAAGTACTTCCTGTAGGTGCCAAGGGCTGTCAGCAAGCCCTTCTCCTGCCTCTCTCTGACTGCCAGGTCAGTAAAGAATTAGTTCCCAGGATGCCACACAGCCTTTCCCAATACAGACAATACTTTTTTTTTTTTTTAAAGAGGTCAACAAAAAGTTACTTCAAAGAACTCAAAGCATCTGTTCTTTAATACCTGGGTATTACACACCTAAATATGCTCCCATAAAAGGTTAAGAAAGCTGCACAATCCAGAAGCAGCTGATCCAGCACAAAGTGACCAGAGTGAATCTCAGCCTCGGGCTACCCTGACAGCCTGCACAAACTGTGGTGGGGAGAGGCAAACCCTTTCCTCCACTCTGCATCATGCCACAAGCAGCAGAGATGTGATGGCTGCTGCACAAACCTTTATCCCCTGTCTCTTGCAGGGAAGCATCAATGGGCTGAGCAGCACATCCCCACGGAGTTGTTTTGCTCTGCTGGCCTCCTGCTGGACCTTCCACACCTGGCAGCTTGGGAACCAAATGGAAATGCTGGAGAGAGCTCCTACCCCAGCTGTGTCACCAGCTTGCTTCATGCTGTTTCAACATGCTCATCTCCACCACTGGTGACAAAGCTTGGCCCTTTCACTTTGAAGTCTCTGCCTAGGATGTTTTTCTTGGAGGAGGGAAGGGAGATGGAAGAAAAGACTTCTAAGTCTCACCATGAAGAAAAGGATTTGTAAGAGAATTCAACCAGGTTTTTTTGAACACTTGCTTAGATTGTCTTTTGGATTCATAAACAAAGACATGAAGACGCGCTTGCATACTTTAAGTATGCAAATTTAATATATTTCTGAAAACAAGAGAACGCTTCAGACTACATACTGGGAAACTTGAGGCAAGCACTGATGCCCCACATCACTGCCTGTCTGACCAGCAATAGTCAGACAGAGAGCAGTTCTAATTCCTCAGGACATGAAATATCCACCACAACTGAACTAGGCACGAAAGACCGAGCAAGCACTAAAGTTAGATGACATTTGCTAATTTAGTTTTCAAGTTGAGTACATATTTTGGGTCAGCACAACAGTAACAAAACTCCTGGTAGACAGAGAAACGTGAAGTTAACTTATGAAATGCTGACTGCTGTATTCCACCTGCACTCGAACACAACCACATCCAGTCTGGAAGAGTCCATCTCCTTCTACCATTCCAGCAAAACATTTCATGTTCCAAGGCAGGGATCACATCTGCACTGGCAGCATGAGTACATCTCCCCAGCCCAACAACCCTAGCACAGACACAGATCATGAGTTGTTCTGTACAACACAATTTGCAAAACCATCACCAGCAACAAGAAGGCAGTAACAGCAGCACAACTGGTTTTACTGGCCTGACTACAAGCTGTGGTCTAACAGCTGAACAGGGGAAGACGTGAAATAGTTATTCCTGGGTTCTTTCTCTAGATCCATGAGATACCATCCCTATACCACAGATACCACCTTCAAAATCCCCACACAATTTTGGGTGCTGGGCCGTTGATTTGCCATTCAATACAGCAATGCCTCGAGAGAGCATCTGCTTGGTTTGGATATAGAAGTTTTTACACTGGAACATGGATCACAATCTCTTGAAGTAGCTACCTGGAAGTAGCTACTTTAGAAACTACCACCAGTTTCTAAATCTGTGAAGTTTAATGTGTGAGTTTTTCTTTACCAAACAATCTTATAGTGGCTTTCTTTTGTGTTTTGAGATACTGATGAGAGGCCAGATATCTATTTTTGATTTAGAAAAATGGAAAAAAGAGCTACAGAAACCATTCAGATGGTTTTTTTCTGCCCCACTATACAGGTGATCAGTTATTCTGCCCAAAACAAGGAGTTACACTAAGCAATACCAGATCAAAGAAAGACTACTTATAGCTGAGAACAGTCATGGTGGGTCAGGAACATCCCAGGCACTCTGTCCTTCCTTAGCAGGGATGCCACATCCTGTATACTGGAGAGTATCAGCACTGAGGGGCTCCTAGCATCACTGCATGCAAATCAGAGTAGCAGCACACTGAGCAGACCTGACAGGATTTAAACCACACAATGCTTTTCATCTCTGTATCTCTTTTCCCAGTCTCTCCTACTATGTCATGCTTGAAGACCTTTTCTCTTGGCAATACATCCAGAGATGTCTGTCTCCTTCTGAGGACAGCTCATGACAACAGCCTTCTCTACGGGCAGTGAATCCCAGGTTGCTCATGTTGTCTGTACTGTGGCACTACCTCAAAGGAAAATCCAGAAGGTACTGACTGCCCTGTGCTTCTCCACACAGACAGGTTCCCAAAGCTCCACTACTTGTGGTCTCCCCTCAGTCCTTGTCTCTGTCCAACATCATCTTGCAAATTTATTTTCCCTAGGCCTCCATACCAACACGACTCTGAGCTCCTCTGACCCTTGCAGGCCAACTGAATCACCTTTCCTCACTGTCATGACAGCCAGTAGTATCCCAGCAGTCCTCACACTACAGTCCCATCCATCTGAGCTTCCAACAAACACCTCACTTACACAACACAAGGAGCAACACAACTTCCCACTGTTCCCTCCAGTCTCTGAGATTGGAGAGAGGGAGAACTGCAATCAGCCCATCTCATTAACCCCCCGCTGCTCCAATGCAACAGAGCTCAGAGCACAGCTCAGCACTTCAAAACTACTGCTTGTAAAAAACTATAATGAAATCTGTGAATTAAGGTTCACTGCTCACACCAAAATTCTGGGGACCAGTTTACTTGATGCCAACTCACAGAGCTTATAATGGTGCAGCACTGTGGGACAGTGATCAAGGAGAGTAAAGCCTATGTGACAAGTGACAGGCTGCCAGGGTCCACTGCTGGACTGGAAGCAGGTGAACTAAAACACCCAATGAAACCACCAAGCAAAAATCTGGTTATTAAAAGTTCTCCTTCATTTACAAACCTGGGAACAAATGAACAACTTAGTAAATATCTAGGTGAAATAAATCCCAGAAGGACTGGGATTTAAAGTAATTTAAATGTTGGGAGGTAATTTAAAAGTTGTCAGAAATGATCAATACATAGATGTATTTTTACTCCTACTGTTAGGACACAAGGGTAGATTTCCTGTGCAAAAGCAAAAAATCCCAAGAACTACTTTCTGGATCCAGAAAAAAAAGCCAACAAAAACCCCTCAGTTGTCTCTTGATCTCAGAGCTACAGATCTGGTATAACACATGAGTAATTAAAAGCAATTTAAGGAAATGTACCACAGAGCAAGAAGTTAACACTACAAAAACTCCACAAAGACAAACAGAGTGATGCTTAAAACAACATGATCACTGTGAAATGTGGTCATCCACTTGCAGGAGAGCTGACAAATATGTCCTAAGTGAAAGAGCTGGAGCAAATCAGCCCTCAGCCACACTGCTCCCTGCCCTGCCTCTGCTCAGGGGAACTGAAGGGATGGGTTCCAAAGAATAACTAATTCGCCCTCTTTTGCAAAGATTCTGAACTGGTCCTTGAATTGTTGCACGCGATGAGAAGAAGAGCAGCCACTGGGCTCTGTCCAAAGGACACAGAGGGAATTACACGTTGCAGAGTCACCACTGTAGAGCACAGGTGGCTCTTCTACCTCGAGCGAGGTCAAAACACCAGACAGCACAGCAGGTAAATCACCACGGACATAAACGCCAGTTGTGCTCCATCCCCAGGGAAGCAGCACTCATGGTAATAGAACAGGAGGCTTGGCAGTTGAAAGCAGAGCCCCAGCTTATTTCACGCTTCCACATCTCAATTACCCCAAACACTGCTGAAAACCAGGAGCGTTGTTTCAGAAAGGTGGTCCTGTTTATGCAGCACCTGACAGGTATGGATACCTGCACGGCAGCACTCAGTGCTTAGTGTCTTCATATGAAACAACATCAAAATGAAACACCTGCACTACCAACTGCTATTACCTTTGGTTCTTCACCCCAAAGCAGTTATATATCTTAGTCACAAACACTGCCACTATTCCATACATTTCTATTGCCTCCAGCTGAGCACTTACAGCCAGTTTCTCAGCCAATAACAAAAAATTAATGTAGCTCTGTGACCAACGATGAGATCATGCCTCAGCATCAGCTTAGGATCAGGACCACCACATCCTTGTAGCTTTGGTGACCAGCTGCATCTCAGAAGTTCAAGGCATAATGAAGCATCAGACAACGAGTGCTCCTACAGAAAAGCAACTAGAATATGTCAGAGAAAGGAAAAAAGCCATTGCATTGCCCTGCTTTGTTTATCATAGGAAAACTGAAAGCCTTTCTTATGGCAGCTAATAAATTGCTAGCACAGCACAATGTGCCTTATTAAAAGACCAGGTTGGTTCACCTAATAACATTGCTTTCCCCTCCATTACAGGCAAAAGGCTGCTACAGTGCACAGAGCAAGTGAGAAATCACACTGGTAATTTGCCTTTAGGCAGAACCTTATCAGCCGGAGCACCTCAAAGCTTCCAGCACAGAAGCACTGACCCCAACTTCATCTCTAACACCAACAGGAATAGAAAAGCTCAGCATATTCTAATACTGAAATAGAAGTGCTTCCGAGGTTTAGACAGCATGTGATAAAAAACAAGGCAAGCACACAACCTAGCAGAAAATCACCAACAGTCCTCTTTGCTCTCTTAGGACTCACAAAGACTAGAAAGAACTGTGAGGATGCTCAAATATCCAGATATTCCCCTTGATCACTAGTTCCCAAGCTTCTGAACATCTGCACTTCCAGATTACACCATTCAATACACCCTTTTATGAGCAACAGCAATCCTGTGATGACAGGCTGCATGGACAGCCTCATGAGGAGGGCACCAAATAGATGCAGAAACAGCCAAGTCCACCAGCTGCTGGAATGTGAAAAAAGCTGGGGATCAATCTGGGAGGCTGAGCAGCCACTGTGGTGAGGAGTAGGCAGCAGCTGACTTGAACGGGGGAGTTATTAGGTGCTGGCATCTCTTGCTAGATCACAGTTAATGAGGCTTAGTTCTTGCCTTGTTTGGGAAGAAAGGAAGACATGCAGTCAAGAATGCAATAGCATTTTCAGTAGCCACAGCCTTTGTAAAACTCTGGAAACACCTTAACCTAAAGCTTTCACAGCACCTCCCAGCCCTGCACAGACAGACTGCTCAGCTTGTACCACACACTCCTACACCCTTGAGAAGAGTCCCCAGGCATCCTACTCATACCCTTTCTGACCCATTCAGGAGAAAGCCCTGAGGAAGACCCCTAAAGGTATGTGTTAAACCAATTCTCAGTCTCTCCTACACCAGTGAGGGGTGCACCTGAGCTAGATTTAACCCAGCATCTAGAGCAGCCATAAGATCTAGCACAACCCATACAGCAGATGTGGTGCTTCCCACAGCTTACTGTTCAGTAAGATGGGTAAGTGAAGACTGAGGCTTCTGGTTTAAGCTGTTGGCTACATCAGTTTCCTCTTTTACCATTCTCTCTTAGTCCCTCCAAGGTACAGTTAGTTTCTGTTTTTCAATTCACGTCAAACAACTTAAAGGGAAAACTTGCAAAGGTTTGCCCTCAGTGACTCCAGCTACAACCAGGACCCCAGAAAAAACAATGCCACAAGAACACAGAAGGTCGCAGTCCCAGTCCTGATGCGCTCACCTGAGTGTGCCCGTGCAGGTAGAACCAGACCTCACATCAGCAGAAATACTTGCAATGCCCACTTGCAAGCTGGGCACTGCCACCATGCTCCCTCTGCTTAAACCACCATGTGATCCCGAAAGGGGACAGGGACATTCCACTGAAGTGGCACAACCGGCCCAGGCCTAGCGCCCTGCAGACCTTCTTACACAGCTTCTGGCTCAGCAGCTCCAACCTCATGCAAGATTCTTGCAACTGTGTCTCTCTTATGCTCAGCTCTTAGCACAGTTCTTGATCTATTCAGGCATTGCTTTTATTATCTTTTAACTTTCAGCAATTAGGTCTCTTCCAAGACTTTAATTTGTCCGGTCTAGGAAACAGAAATCAATTTAAAAGATTCTGCCCCTGCTCATGTAAAACGTCATGCTAACTTAGAGGCTAATTCTTTCCACATGCTTCAGAACTAAACCCCACGTCACCTAACACACAGGAAACAAAAATTATTTAATGTTCCTCTCCTTAACTCCTTTTGACCTCTGTGCCTTTTCCTTTGCCTTCTTAGCTGTCATCATCGAGATCTGGAGCAACAGCTGATGCATCACTTTACTGAGCTCTCACGAGAGAATAAAACATCTGTTTTCGTCCCTCAGACTGAAAACAGACGCCTTTTTAGTTGTGTCCAACAGATACTCAATTATATGACAACACAGGGAAGCACAATGCATCTAAATGAGGGCACACCCTTGGGCCACATGGGTGCCTGGCATGTGGTCAGGAACCCAAAGAGGTTTTGCAGTCTCAGGCAAGCTACTCATCCACAGGCATCTGGGGTCCGAGACACCTGCACACGGACAAGGGTAGATTTCTTGCCTTGGCACTTGGAGGCTGCAATGTCTGCAGAACTGCTCTGGAGCAAACACCACATGCACCAAGCCCAGCAGCTCAGCTGGGTAATTGTGGCTTTTCTAACAAGCTGTCTGGAAAACCTAATTCCATACAAAAAACACTCCTCATCATCCTACTCACCTGATATTCCAGATATAAAACAGGTGACAGTTGTTTGACTGTAGGATAATTGTTCAACAAAATCTGCCTGGAAAGATTTTATTGGCTATTGTTGTTCTGCTGGAAACCCACTGCTACAAAAGAACTCCTGCAGCTGGCACTCGTGGAAGCCTAGTCATAGCAGATCAAGGTGAACAGCCTGCCAATTACTGGTTCAAGATCCAGTGTATCCTTGGGACACAAGGGTGGGCTGACACTGGTAAGGCAGCTCAAGCAGTACCCATGGCCAAAGTGCTCCAGTCTCCAGAACTGTTCAACCGGAGAGACATTTTACAGATTTAAAAAAAAAAAAAAAAAAAAACAAACAAAAAACACACACCCTCCCCCCCCAAAGAAAAGCCAAACCAAAACAGAAAAACGACAACAACAAAAAACCAACCACAAACACCTCAAGGGAAGAGGAAGGAATTCTACATCCTGCATTGCTTGAAGGAGCCAGCACTTTGTTAAGGGAAAAGAATAAGCTGTCTGAGCAGCTGACAGCACAAGTGGAAAACCAACTGGAAAATTATAGGGACAAACCACACACATTTTGGCTTCTATATCCAGCTCTAGAAACACATTTAAACAAGTCAGGCAAATAGCTCCTATCAATGCTCTGGTGCCACAGCTACACAAACAAACATCCCTCACGCTGGAGGTTTCCGCAAATTCTTGCGGACTAATACAAGAAAGGTATTAATTAAATGTTCAACTAAATCATTAGCTCTTGGATTAAGTATCTTAAATGGAACTCTTAAGAAACTGAAATACATCAGAGGAACAGAAGCTATAAATGTAATCCAAGAAGCCACTCAGGGTTCAGCGCAGGGCACACAAAGAGCTGACACCCCCCATGTACCTCCTGGACAGGCTCTACTCACCTTTCACAATGCTTTTACTACACTTTTCTCTCCTTCACAATTCTCATCATTACTTTCAACACAAAAAAGAGTAAGCTGAATCAAGTGTTTAAATAACCATTTTGATTGTGATTTTGGAAGATTGATGCCTTGTTTTGTAATTCTGTTATTTTCTCAGAGGTTTGTTCTCCCTGGACACTTGTTAACAAGAACAGCCTGGCAGCTTCCTGCTGAACAGGATACACTGTATACTTATGCAAGCAGTTAACAGCACAGCATATCTTTATAAAAATGCAGAAATTTAATGCAATATAGCTTAGTAAAAGAGATTGTGTCATGTTTCAGGGGGAGGGAGGCGGTTTTTTTGCCCCAACATTGCAGAAACTTATAGCAACACTGAAAAGCAATTTTGAAGAAGAATAAATGTAAGCGGCAGAATTAGAGTCACATTTCACCTCAGAGAAGAAAGGGAAGAACAATTTTCTAAATATTTCATTCTTGTTCAAATCAACAGGTTTTATGAAAGAAGTATAGAAATAGTTGTAATTTGCGGAGGAAGAGACTTCTTAAAAGACTCTGTCTCTTAAGCTGTCCCCTGTCGTCATCACAAGCACATTCAAAGGGGGATTTACTTATTTACTTTTGTCTCCAAAAGATTTTAAGGCAGGCTTGGTGGAAATTTCTAAAGCACAAATTAAATGCCAGCTTGAACTAAAATACGCAGCACTCAGAGGGACCGATAATTCTAAAAATGTGCCCTTCACAACTTTGAAACCTCTTTATTCAACACCATCTTATCTCTTTTTATTCATACTGGTTGGAAGTGATGCAAGCCTTCCTGCTCCTCTAACTTCCAAAGCGATTTTTTCCCCTCAAGACACGTATTCCAAACTGAAGTGTCCCATTAGTATTACTTTTTGTCTTAAATACAGTAACCTCTTCTACACAGAAGGGAGAGCATGGTCACTCCAAGAGCCAAAAATCTGATGCCTTGTGAATTCTGAAACAAGACAAACAGAGTGCTGGATGTGATAGTGTGCCACTGTTAACCTGACATGAAAAGGATGCCAGATTGCTGCCTCCCATCCCATCCAGCCCTACTGTACATTCCATGTCGAATTAAATGACACAATAGCTCTTTACCTTTAGCATAAGAATAGGCCTCACCAATAAAATCAGGTTAGAAGGTGTCTTCAAAGACCAATTAGTTCAATAGCATCCCCACCCCACTGCTCAAATTAGATCAGGCAGGTCACATTATTACAAAGCTTTTTTTTTTTATTCGATTCTTAACATATAGGTCCTCAGTTGGAACTGATTTCAAATGTTCATTAAAACCTGAAACAGTTTTATATATTCTAGCTAGAAGCAGCCCTGCCAATTCATAAACAGGTTTAATGTACTTCTCTGTCACCACATGCAAGACCTTGCTGACAGACTGTGAAACAGGAAAACTGGTTTTTTTAATCCTTCTCTAGGTACAGTAGTATAAGCCAGGCAACAATTTGTAGCCCCCAAAGACTACAGCTACATGATCTGATCCATGACAATCTTGGAATTCAACAGGGTTTCATGCAGGTATAAAGGATCTGCAACATAGATCAGGCAGCAAGATACATACATGTATCAAGTTCAAATACTGCCAGTCATATCAGGAATTGGTACAGTCTTTTGAGCAAAGAAATGGCATCGGGCTTTTGGTTTCTTTATCTAGGTTTTGTTTAACTTAACATCATCTGATAAAAGTAAAAACTTCAAAGTCACACAGAGCTATAGGCTTCAATTACTATTTCTCTATCAGTCTGTCAATGGCAATGTCGTTCTGGAAGGAGGAGGGATTGCTGCTGGCAAGTCTCTTGCAGTCTACGGCACAGAGGATATTTCAGCTGAAATGGAGATTGAGTTTCACAGATAGTAACTATGTCAGACTAGAAAACATCATTTAGGGGACTTAAAAGTATGACAATGCCCAAGGATAAAACCAAGAAACATATCATTCTTTCCTGATAACACTACTTGTAGTGAAGGTTAAAGATCAAGTGGCTGCTTTTTCTTAAGCACAGACATTGTAAGGGAAGTCGAGCAGATAGTTGCTAAATCTTCCACAAAATGAACATCACGAACCACTTCAGAAGCAGATCCAGATACAGTTATGTCTCTTCTTGCCCTTCATCTTTTTCCTCCTGTAGGTTAATAGCACTTTCCTGCACCCTTGCAAGACAGGAAATACAAGGTAGGGTTTTTCATGAGTTTTCATATCCTCTTCTGGAACTACAAAGCGTTATTACTATCATAAACTTGTCACACTGAGGTCTAGCAGTACTGTATGTTAGGAAGTTGTAATATTTGGCTACTTCAAATACATCTGCCTGCAGTGTTGGGACTGTGCCAGCATGCAGTTCAGTAACAAATGAAGTTCAGTCCAAGATCTATACATGCAGGAAAAAAATACCCAGGCAGAACTACTTGTACACTCACATCACCATTTAAAGAGATTTCTCCCCCATCCTTCAAAGGACTTGGAATTTGAGTATGCACATATACATTCTGTTCCTTGTCTCTGAATTCATACATCAAAGAAAATGCCACAAACACAAAGCAACACAGAAGCAAAGCACAGATTCTTCATTAACTCTTTATTTGAAGAAGAGAACTGCAAGAGAGGTGCAGGCTCTGCACTGGTTTTTGATATATCTTGACATTTTCATCAACCAAAAGTAAGGAATTTGGATTTGCTGCTACCGGCCAGATTCTGACCAATAGACCAGCACAAACCCAGAGTCTGAAGCCAGCTATCTGCACTAACACTCTCCCTAGAAACGGAACAGGGAAATCAGCAGTCACCTTTTTGATGACTTATACATTTCTCACCTTTTTGATGACTTAATTCAGACCTTTAAAAATCACCTAAATTTTTTAGAAACAGATTTTTAGCTACTAAGAATTCACAATTTTTAGCTACTAAGTTCATTCAGTCTGCTAGGGAGATCACTTGCTTTTTAAAGAGTAGTCCAGTTATGTGCTGACCTTACACGTGATTTGATGGTTTCTTTAAGTAACTCATTAAATAACCCAAGGTAGTGAAAACTTTATTTTACAAGACAGATTAAGTCAGTAGCATTATTTTTCCATAAAATTCTTCTTGATTACTGGATAATTAGGACTAGAAGTCAGGATATGCCAACATCAACACCTCCCTTGTATCACTTTTCCCCAGCAAGAAATACAAGGTCTCAGGCAAAATACCCATGGAAAGCAATCCAAAATCCCTCCTTATGAGGATGTGAGAAGGGATACAACACCAATCAACTAGCACTGATTTTATTTTCACTTGTGTAAAGCAGCATGCAGGCAAATAGCACTCTTCCAGCCTACACCGTTCTCTGCAAGAACTTGAAGACATTTTCTGATTTTACAGAAAGGAACCGGTGTGCTCCCAGCTGACTCTGGGCACCACAAAACAGACTTGCAGCAGAGCCAGGATCAGGCTCCCAAGTCTGCTTCCCAAGGCTTTGGTCAGGTCCTCTTCCCACACACAGGAGATATGGGTCTGGATATAGTTGCCCTACAACCACACTGAGCAAAGAGCAAGCCCAGCACCTGCCACACGCAGCAGGGAGCTGACAGACATATGTAGCTCTCCTTCCTCACTAAGTTTGATGAGAAGAGCAGCACAAGTCAAACCAGTTTTCTGCTCACATAATAACAGTTCAAGAACTTCTTTTGAGGCAGGCCTAAAACAAAGCCTGAAAGTCATTCCTTGGTTCTTCCAAGCTCTCAGTGCACTCATTTGGCCTCTCCCACTACAGCAGCTGCAGTCCAGCCCCAGTGCACATGCAAGGTGCACTCTTCCCCAGGCTCCAAAGCTAATTCAGAATACCAAAAAGGTATCTCCGACAAGGAACGGGCAGGAAAGACGATGCCCATAGACACAGTCACAAACCAAAGCACTGTTAACACCACCCCTCACTTCTGCCATGTACATCAGATGACTGTGAGACACTCTGTAAGCACAGTGACCACCAAGGAAAACAGCCCACCTGACTTGTGCGGGACAATTCTGCTGCAGCCAAGAGAACAAGCCTCCAAGACCATTTCTCTTCTCCACTGCTGCTTTCCAGGCTGTACATGCAAGAAGTTCACTCAGAGGAGACTGACTCAAGCCCTCTGTCTCCAAGGGCAAAATTCTCCATGTACACAGATCAATCCTACCATCTTCTACTGGTGCCCTCCTCAGAAATGTCTTCATTCCTATCACCACACTCTTGATCACAGCAGAAGCTCCTAGTCAGGGTGACATATCAACATTGTGACCCACTTGTCTGCCACGGCATGAAAGCTTCACAACAGCGTCTCCTTGGTATGACTGTAGCTGCACTCACCCCATCTGTCAGCGTGCTCTTTTCCCTGCCACATGCTGTGTCTTTCTAGAGATTACAAAAACTATT